TAAATATTTTTAAGTACAGTGTCTCTAAAAGCTTCCTTTCTTTTTTCCTCCTTTTTTTTTTTTCCCTAAATGAGCAATAGATGGTGTTTGCAAATGGCATCTCCTCTAGAGCATGCCTGCGTTACCCAACAGGCAAGGCCTCTGCACAGCAGCCTGCTGTCCCCAGGGCTGGAATCACACAAAGCCAGAACACGCTTAGGTTCATTGATCTGTAAAAGATCATTTTGAGAAACAGCTACCAGGACCCCACTATTCTGAGTGTAACTAAGAGAAGGGCCTGGTGCCATCACCACAGAGGGGCAGAGGGAGAGCCTTGGCGCGTGAGAGCAGCCCTGATCTCAGCAGGCATCCGATGCTCTTCAACAGAAGCGGCCCCACGGGACATGCCAGCCCTGCCAGGCTCTGTTTTCAGCCCGCTTTGCCTCCCACGATGGGCACCACCTCCCCTACCCCTGTCTACTAAACCTTCCATATTGCTGTGAGGAGATGAAGAGTATCCAGCTGCTCTGCACTTCTCCAGGGGATCAGAAATGGCCAGGACACGAGGAAAACAAGCTCAATACTGCTAACATGGCAGGCTGGGGGCCAACTCTCTGGCAGCTGGCTTCAAAACCAGCTAACTGCTGGCATAGTTTTTGCAATACTGAGACAAGTATTCCTGGTGAACATGTTCCAAGAGGTGGCAAACAACAGACTTCAGCAAGAACCCTTGCCCATGCACCGAGCTTTTCTAATTTTAAAAAAAATAACACCCAAAAGCTAGAAAAAAACTCACATCTTCTAAAGTATCTTCTCAGCATACTAAAAAAATTGCAATTTTGATCTGAAAATAGTGAGAGGAAGAGAAAAGAATTCAAAACTGCCTTCTAAAAGCATCAATTTATATTTCAAAAGGTAAAGTTACTTCAGGCTGAAATATTCTAGGTAAGGTTCTTATAATAGGGAATTTGTACAGGTTTTAAGTTGTTCTCATTTTGTTTTTATAAAATGAATGTGTCATTATCCAAAGTTTTCAAGCTTCACACTTTAGTCTACAAACACCTGATTAGGAAGAACTGTAATATGACCAGAGATCAACCACTTTTAGTCTCCTGACCTCCGTGGTTGTTGGTACCTATTATTGCATTAAGGATTTTTAAATAGAATGTTACATCCATTTTTTTTCTTTGTTTAGCTTCAACCTTTAAAATAATAGAGTATTTGTGAAGTAAAACCCAAATGTTCTAAGGCTTACCATTTATATTCCCTATGAGAAAATGGATTCTACAGAACACGTTTGGCTCTGCATTCAGCTGTATCAAGGAAACCTTCAACTGGACTTCAAATGATACATATGGAAAAGAATGTAATTTGTTATGGCCTGGCCTTTTCTTGCCTGTCCAAGAAAACTGTACATGGTTCTGTCTGTTGGGGAAGATTGATTTCTTAACCCTTCTGTGCATGTTGAAAACATCACTCCTTGATAAGCACAATACCACTGTTTATGCTACCCATACCAACAATCATTTCCAACAGCAATGTTACTTTATGCTTTCATTGATATACACAACTGCACTTTTCTACCCAGGATGAACATTCCATTGCAAAATTCAACATAAATGGTCTTTCATTCCTATTTGAATAAAAACTGATCACATAAAAGGCATCTCTTAAAGATTCTGGTCAAAAAGTAGTGATTTAATAGTCAGTATATGGCTGGAGCCAACTGTTCTCAAAGGCTCAGAGAAAAGACAATATCTGAATTTCCTGCTTTTCACACCATCTTACTTCGATCTCACTTGTACTCAAGGCCAGCCACATTTTGCAGATATATCATTCCTGAGATCACTTCAAGGAAAGCCACTTTCATTAAACTGCCACCATCATCAAACAACTGAAACTGAAGGACCAAACACTGCACCAGTACAAGCACCTTGTATTTTAATATGAGAAAAATGGGCTACACATCATTAATAACTGTAGGGTTCCATAACAATTGTTTTTCTGGATTTTTGTGGCAAAATACGCGTCTGCAAAACATACACACGTAATTGTTTTTTTACTTACGCTGGTGATTGTCAATTAGTGTTTGATGCATAATGATAAATTTGACAGCTCAATAAAACAATTTTTCACTTTTCTAATTAAAAATTATCTTCACAATAAGATAGCTTTCTTTGAAAGCACCTAACTAGCTCCACTCCTATTATAGTGGCCTCTGTATAAGCATCTCTTCCTTTACAAATATCTTAGGCTACAGTATAACTGCCAATGTACCAAATACATTAAGGTCATCACCTTCTTCCAGTTAAAATCAAAATCCCCACTAAATTCAACAGGGGCTGGATTAGTTGTGAAAACATGAAGACGTATGGCACTCTAGATTAAGAGCAATTACTGCAGTCAAAGTGGGGAAATGGATCTTAGCTATGAAGGCCATCCCAAGAATATAATAAAACAAAACCAGGAAGCCAAGCCAATTTTACAGAGCAGTAGTACTAATTATTTTGAAAAAAGGGTTTAATAGGTCAGAAAAATCAGAAAGAAAAGTCCAAAGCTGTTATGCCGAGTCTTAGTCTATTGCCTTAAAATCATTCTTCTTCACAGCCTTCACATTGTGAGCATTGCTGCAATGGATCCAGGTGTCATTCAAAAAGAGTTAAAAACACTTCAAAAGCCGTTGCACGGGACCCATCTGATCTAGAACAATTACTTTATTCTGAGCTGTCTCACATTGGGGTTACTTGTGTGTAAACTGTACAGTCAGCATAAAACCAGCGGTAAAATTATTGATTAACAAAGCCTGGCAGTTTTAATCCACACATCTAGTGCCTGTGAAAGCCAGGAAACAAATGACCAGAGAAAAGAATTCGAAGAAAATTAGAGAATGCAACTTGTATTGACACTTCTGTGATACAAAGTGAACAAAACCATGGCTCTACCAAAGCTAACTTGTGAAGCTTCACTGGCTTCGAGCAGACCCAAGAAGTTATTCCCAGAATGGTCACTAGAGATGCTGGTCCGTGAGAAAGGATCAGAAAGAAAGAGATCACAATCCCCTCTTCCAGACATGCCCCAAACAACTAGTAAGCCCAGTACAAAACACTATGTGACCATTCACCTGCACCTCTTTCCTCAAAGCTGTAATTTCATAGTGTGCAACTACTTCTCCTTAACAATGCTATTAAAATGAATTAATATGCTGAAATGATGTTTATTAGAAACAGAATCTTAATGAAGGCATAGAAGTGGGAGCACAGAACTGCTTATGAGCATCAGAATTTTTAATAGTTACTTACCCCTTCCCTTCACAGTGCAATAACAGTGAATCAGCCAGCAAGCTTTTTCACAGAACATTGCAGTGCAGGAGCATAGCCCATTTGTCTTTATTTGATACATATAAATGTAGAATGATCATTGCAACAATGATTCTGTATATCCTGCAGATCAAATATGGGCATTTAATTTACAGTTTTCTGCAAATATGATTTGCACCACTCTTGTCACTCTTTCAACTCTGCTACACAACATCTATTTTACTGCTCCTGCCACAAACCCAGATGGCTGCAGATGTGCAGCTGGCAACACTATGTTGTCTGACCCTGTTTAGGAGTTTACACAATGCAGTGCTTGAATTAAGAGGAAGTCCCAAGTGCCCTCATTAGCACAGCAGCCAATGAGCTGAAATAGGAGCAGCAAGAGTGGGAAATTTTAGCAAAAAATTCCTAGTACAGGAAATGCCGAAAAGACAGAGGGGAGATTGTATACTCGGCTGTGAGGACAGCAGCGCATAAAAACAGCTCTTTTAGGCATGCAATAGTATTCTGAAAACTAATTGTGAAGTTTATTGGCCAAAGTAAGCCCAGCTACTTTTCTTCAATATGTGACTCTATCTCCTTTCACTCATAAACCAGGGCATAATGGCTTACCTTAACAAGGATCACCTCCTTTGTACAGAACTGTAAAATAATAGTAAACGTGTTGCTGGCTTTATCAAGTATCTTCAAAAAAGCTCAAGTGGTAAAAGAAGCGTTTTAAGGATGAATGAGTCTATTTAAAATTTTTAGATCTTACAAAGCCCTGACATTGGCTGTCTTCAAGACAGACTGTTAGAGCAGGCACTTTGGTCTTCTCCGTGAAGAAAATAAAGGGGCATTAGATACAATACACAATTGTTATGTAAATATAGGAACATATATTCTGTTTTTAATCAGTGCTTGATGTAATCTCTCAATATTTGAGCAACTTAAGTTATTACTAGAAAGAATAGTTCAAAGTATGCTGTGTTGAAAAGTGCTTTCACACATTCAGCGATATGATAACCTTTTTAGGTATTCTGGTGTGGTGAACTAATTCTTTCAGGCATCACTTTTTTGCTATTGGCACTCAAGGTTAAAAACATATGTGAGCTAAACCATAGATATAAGTTAACCACCTAAACGTGACAATTTTCTGGCAGCGCACTGTGCGTATACATTTGCATATGTAAATATATCAAGGGTTTTTTAAAGAAATAGTCTCTGCTTTATGTTTTCCTTCTACTTCTAATCATACAACCACCACAAACAATTCATAAACAAAAGAAATATTGAGTAAAATTGCAACACTGACTCTTAAAATGAATGTGGTTGCATAAAAAGATTTTATCAGCACCACACTCATCCACAAACACTGCTCCACCTCAGGACAGCTTTGCTATTTCAAGTAGCACTGAAGCATGTGATTAAATCCTGCCAATACCAAGATAATTAATTAACAATTACTACATACTTAGCTCATATGTAATTCTTTTCATGCATAAATCTCCTAGTGCTTTACAGAGAAGCCTAGTTTCACAATTCCCACTTGATGGCTAGGCAGTAAAGGCTACATGTGCATCCTGCTTGGGTGGCCAGATCCCTTTCTCAAGGCAAAGCCTAATAGAACTCTCAGCCCAGCTCCATGCGTTCATTCTGCCAGCTGCAGATGTCCCTGAATGACGTACATGCCCCAAGGTCAGCCTGCCTACAAACTTCATTTGCCTTTGCTAAATGCTCCGGACGAGTCCCCGTGACGGACTGAAGTGCTGACTTCAGACAAGTATGAGCACTTGGCCACGAGGGCAAAGAGGACCACCCTGACAGCTGGACTGTCCTCATCACCATCCAGGTGAGCATGCGTGTGGCCTACAGTCCAGCGCAGCACAAGCTCCTCATTCCTCGTGCAGTCCTCTTGGACGCTCAGCCTCATGTCTGTGCAGTTTGAATGCACAACGCCAGCACCTCAAGCCCGGCCTTGTGGCAGAGCCCAAATATCCACAGACACTCCCCCCCAAGAACAGAAGAGGCAGAAACTGAGAAGTGGAGAAACACAAAACTCAACCTGTGTAAGTATGATCAAACTACTATTAAGTATGTGCTGAAACTCAGGCATATCCACACGTTCTGCATCGAGATGAACTTATGAACAGAGTCATGCACTTCCACAAGCAGGGAAGAGACATCAGACATCAGCCAGGAGCAGTTTGACCATATGACGTTCTCACTAGTTAGCAGTCATGGACAGACTGTGCACTCACTCCATAAAGTCTAAAAAGGTAGCATGTATTGGCCTAAGTCTTAATTAAAGCAGGTCAAGCTCAAATACTTCACCTCGTACTTCCCACAGGCTGCAAGCTGCACATGGCTGGTTCCTGCAGCTCAGCTGACCCATGATTAACAAATCTTTAAGCAGAATTAATTCAGTCATGTCTGAGCCCTAAATTGCTATGGACAGGTCACAGAAATCCCTATTACTACCCAAAATAACTATACTGGGAAGCTGAGCTCCACTTAACGATTCTAATACTTAATACTTGATTTGTAAAGATGCAGTTACAAATCGACCAAACTCCTTATAATGTTATTCAGAGTTTCAATGACAAAAAATCCCAAACAAACTATAACTCAGATCCCTTTTAGAGACAGGATGGAGACAAAGGAAAAAAAAAAACAAAAAAAAACCAAGAATAGCAAGATAGTGTTGGACTGACTTCTGTTCTTGATAGCTTTTTTAATTAGTATTACTTTGAAAACAAAAAACTATTTTGGAAATTAATGCCTTCATACATACTCCTTAACCCTACATCCAGTAACATCTGCAGAGAAGAAAAAATATTATTTGTAAAGAACAAAGTCCTTAAAACATAGGTATATTGTATTAATAATTGATTCATTAATAAGTATATAAGGTAAATAAAACTTTCATATAACTATATCATTTATAACCATTATAAAATGGATAATTATGATACATTTATACAATACATGCAAAATTACAGGTAACAGTGTATGTTGTGCAGAATGGCAAGCAGAAGTGGAATCCACAGCCGACTGAGTTTTCACCCAGTATAACCAAAGGAGTTTTTTATGGTGCCTCGTACTCCAGGAAATGGCATCCAGGACTGAGAGCAAATTTCTTAGTGCTTCACATTGATAAAAAATATGCTTTGACCTGCAGGTGAATGGAAGTGATCTTAGCAAAGCCAGGTGACTGCTCAGAGATAATGAGTGCCATAACTTTTTCTTTCCTAGTCCCTCTCCAAAACCATGTTCACCATAGTAGGTGTGAGTGTTACGGAGTGTTTACAACAGACACTCCTGATGAAAGCAGCATGTCACACGCATGTGTTTTCCGAGTGCCGGGGACGTGGCACACCCACCTCCCGCAGCCTTTTCATTTGCTATCTACGACGTACCACACCTCAGCTAAACAAGAACCATTTATGATGAAAACTGGGCCACTGCTCACTTCAATGTATCCAAGAGATGCTGCAAGAGCATTTTAAAACTGTTTAAACATCACTCTGCTTTTAAGGCTGTAAAACACAGCTAAAGCTACTTACAATTCCACTTTGGCTGTCATTTATTACGTGTCATATGGAGACCCATCTCCTCAATCCTGCATGATGTACAATGAGCAAGAATTGTTTGGCTGGGAAACTGATTATTACTTCAAGCCTACGATTTTGGATTACAAACAATGCATACAAATTCCCTAATCATCTAGGATTAGTTGGATTAACATTTTCTCACTTAAACGTAAGTGCACCATTTATAGGACAGGCAGGCATTCAGCTGTTGCAGACAGAACCCTGTCTGCTTTGTTCACATCTGCTTGCCACTTTACTTCCAGAGAGCCCATCAAGGGATGAAGCATATGGCCTCGATATTTTTAGCGTTTGTAAATAGCATGCATAGGAAACACAGCAGAAATTACACATTCCATTGGAAGTACAAACACAACTTCTGCAGGCACAGTTCATGTAAGACATCACAGCACAAGAGGCAGACAGATAGAGAAAGAAGAATTCCCAAGAAAATCCACAATAGTTCTGAACCTTTTACTGTTTCTGCAGGATACTGCTCTGTTGGATTAGTGGTTTTACACTTGGATAAAAACAGCATCAGAGTATCAAACCGTGTATTTGTCTTGCTATGTGTCCCAACAGGCCAATACTGACATAGGGTATGCAAAGTTACTGCAGACCTTAACAGTGTGGTTTATTTCTTATTCTTAGATAAAGTTGCAATGCAATTATCCTTCACAAAGGAAGGGCATGACAAATTATCCCTTAGCTTTAACATCCCCTGCTGACATTCCTCCCTTCCAAAAAAGTGGCTTTCTAAAGTCCCCAGCATTTGCACATAAGAAAAAAAAAAAAAAAAAAAGAAAAAGCAGCAAGCTTTACATATTTTTTTCTCCCACTTCCTCTACCCCAAAAAAATGTGGGACTGGAAGAAGAAAACTATCAAGGAAAAGAAGTTGCAGTTGTGCACACAGGTTCAAACAGAACTATGAAGACAAAGACCAAATGGGCCCTTCAAGAACAACATGATCACAGAGTAAACAAAGTATTCCAGCAGCTCCTTCTTCATGTAAAGACTTAACAGCCATCAAACGTGACAACAAGAAAAGGGCACATAAATAAGTTTTAGCTAATCAAAGATATTCCAGGATTATTGAAGTAGGTCATATATCAAGAAGCTAAAGAGGCTTCCTCATACAAGTAAAACCATCTCCATTTGATTTCAGAGGCTAAGTTTAGTCTACTCAATTCATACAAGTCTGGATGTAATTTCTAATTTTCTGTTACATTACCATTGTCATTTCAAAACCACATCGGGGGATATTCAAATACTGCAGCAACCGACCTAGCAAAACTGCTTATTGCTCCCGAAAAAGTGTACCAGGCCAGATGAATTTACTATGTGATTCCTCTAACTTGCTCTAGAAGATGTACATAAAAATGAACATTTGAATACCTCACTACATATCCTTAGAGGTTTTTGCCCTGCAACACAAAGCTGCTGGCAATTGTGCATCCTTGCATTATTTATCAAGTTTCCTTGATTTCTTTCTGGCAGAAGTGACAAAACAGCTTAGTCTCCTTCAGGATGCATAGAGGCCACTTCTACTTCGAGTAGCAGAGCAAGAGAAAAGTCTGTTCAATTCTGTTCCTGTCCTTTAATTTTTTTCCAATAGTACCAAAGTGCCTACAGAAGCAAAAGTGACTTGGTACCAGCCACTAAGTAGAAAAATAATCAGCCTAAAATAGATGGAAGAAACATTACTGAAGGTAGTGGGATTTTCTGACTAAGGTCCGCAATGAAAAAAGTGTCTAGAATTTTCAGGTACGAGGTAAATTTACAGATTCCTGGCACAGCAAATTCACAGAGGACATTTCCAGAAATGTTTCTCTTTCAGAGATTAAATTCTAGAATGTGTTCTTCCTTAACTTATAACAAACAGATAACAAATATTTTGATGTCCCACATATGGATCACAATCCAGCACCCTTTTTCACATACAGCTCTAAGTTAGACCAGAGTAGAATAGTTTCAGTCAACTACAGGTTAACTAAAAGATACTCTGACAACAGCATTTTGAAAACTCAGCCTGATAAAATCTGATCAGCCCCTGATGCCACGAAATCATAAGTGCCAGAAGGAAAATAGAGACTGGTAGGTTTGAAAATTAAGGGTGAGATGAGAGTCTGCCCAATCACATCAGCTACATCTATGTGCTGGACACAAGTGGTCCATCTTCTTCAGGTCTCTGCACATTCTTAAACTACTCTTGAGCCACTCAGACCTAAAACTACTAAAAGAAGGGTGAAGACACTGAAAAAGAAATAGAAACTTATGAAATCTGTGCTGATCCTTTAAAAGGTAGCTTCTATCTCTCATTATTCACAGAATTATCTTGGCTTTTCTTAAAGCACTTCACAGACTTTTCTGCCAGGTTTCAAACTTCCTTCCTTCTCCAGAAAGGAGAAAGTTACTGACTAAAGCTATGTGAAGGCAAAACGGCCAATTATTTACATCCGTTCCTTGTTTGGGATGTGCCAGTTTAAAGATTCATCCAGTCTATGGGGAAAAAGAAAAAAAAAAAAAAAAAACGAAGAAGATACCACTTCATGTCTGAATGGCAGATATTTTTTCAATTATGACATTAAGAGGATTATCCTAGAACACATTAGTCTTTAATTGGTTTACAGAGAAAAAATGATATGCTAGAAACTCATCTAGGCAAATAGAAGAGTGTATATTTTATGAATAAGTACTGTAATCATCCGCTTGTTACTTGGAAATAAAAACAAACAACATGTGCATAATAGAACTGTTCACACATCTTAATGAAAGTGTCTCATTATCTCTCCTCCTGGCTTTTATACAACAGTCAGCGTCCACCTTAGGTCCAATATATTGAGTTTTACAGCAATTATTGCTTAAACAGTTTTGACATTTTAAATGATTCATATTAGCTTGTGGGACTCCTTAAAAGAATCCTTTATAGCAGTCAATAGCATTTGAGAGAGGTCAAAATTATTAAAATCTACTAGAAAGAAATAATGCAGAACTGATCACTCTACAGATTCTGAAAACATGCTAAACTAGCCTCACAGTTCTACAAATCACTTCTGCTGGAAGCAAAAGGATTAGACTGACGTATATTTCCCAAGCTACATCTGTCATAACAAGTCTAAAAAAGCAGCCAGCCCACTGAGCAAGAACTGGCACTTTGGGAAATGGCTTAAATAGCACTGAGCTCTCAACTAGCACTTTCATGCTTATTACATATTTGAACAGACTAGGATCAAGAGGGTATTTCTTGTCACCTTCACATGTGATTTATAGATAAAAATTAAAAATAAAAAAGAAGAAAAAAGAAAAAGTATTTTGTGAATTCCTCAGTATACCAGAGATTTC